GCTTTAATTTGATGAAAAAATTATCGCCGTACGATGATTCTTCGTGGAGTTATCGTCAGTCAAATTTGGCCAATTCTTATGCGAAATTTCTCTACGCACGAACTGTGGATCTTGATGTAAAATATGAATTTTCTACTTAATTACAGTAATAAACTAAAGTAATATAGATTCCGCGACAATGTGATAGGATACCCCAGAATTTTTCATGTTTCTGAAAAGCAATAATGTATAGAAAGGTATTGCATGCTGCTGTATAAACGATATAACGATGACTGTTTATGTGGTTTTCCATGAATTATATCTGTTTATGTGAAAACCGGGTACGACAAAATGATAGGAGAATAGTAACAGAGAAGTCAGTAGCAAAATTTCTTTTCAAAAAGTTCAAATAATATCCAAATAGTTTATTTTTCAATAATAGGCAGTGCGTGATACAGATTAAGTATTCATGAAAAAATATTGGCTTATGTCTTTTAAAACGAGTCGTGGTACTGAAGTAAAAAAAAAAACAGAAAAAAAATGATTTTAATTTTAAGAAACGATGCAAGCACTTCTAAAATATCGATATTAATAGGGAGAAGTGGAAATGTAATTAGGAATTTTTTGAAACACCCGGAGAAGTATCGTAAAAAAAAAGCAAATGACAACCGTGTGCTGTGAATGATCGCGGTGCACAAAAAATATTAGATAGAAACCAACGCGAGGAACGTATAGCGTATTTTACAACAATCTGATGTTATAGAAAATAAAAAAAACTTCCAAGAAAGCCGCCCTTAACAAAGAAACATATTACTGACCGAATAGTATTCGTCATAGAGCATATTGGATGGAGGAAGAAGTGGAAGAAAATGCTTTTAACCGTTGAAAAAAGATTTACTCTCTATGGTCCAGATGGTTGATCGTGTTATTTTCACGATTTTAGAATGGAGCCGGTGTTTCTAGTCAAACGTCGGATGAAAGAGGTAGGAATTGGATATAAAGGGAGAAGAAATATTCGTTTTATTAATGCAAAATTAAAAAGCGTTGATTATATAAAACTAATTGACGAAGAAATTGCAGCAAATGCGGAACGAATTAATGGAGATGCATTCATCTTTCAGCAAGATAATGCATCAGTACATAAGGAATCTAATAATATTCAACTTTTACGGGTCTATTTATATTGTCGTGGTCCATCGGTCAGTGGATGTAAAGGATTGAAGAATTTGAAAATTGAAAAGACTAAGCAGCGCTGAACGTTCCTTAGAGAGCATAGGATCAACGTGTTAATGAACCGCGCTGCATAGGAAATGAGGTAATTATGTAAACGCATTTGATATTGCGATTACTTGGAAAGATGGACCAGTCAACAAATAGATAGCGACGTTACCGACAGAAAATTGTCAAATGTATACATTGTGGCTCGTTCACCTCGGCTGTTGTTNGATATTGCGATTACTTGGAAAGATGGACCAGTCAACAAATAGATAGCGACGTTACCGACAGAAAATTGTCAAATGTATACATTGTGGCTCGTTCACCTCGGCTGTTGTTGAGCTCGAACAGCTGACTTTGACTCTGCTCGCGCTCGAGTTTATGTACACAAACCAAGGTGATACTCGCAACAACACAATGCTCTGAATCTAATTTTGGACGTAGCAGTTTCTTTTATCTCTCTCAATATTTGTAATAGGTTGATATAATAATGTAACAGCATTCTTAGAGTCTATCTTTCTTAAAATCTTTCCATTGTTTTAGCATTTTACCATTTCTCCACTGAAACGGCATTCTTGAAATCATTCCACTGTTACTTGTCGCATTTGCCCACTTTTCTTGTAAATGGATAAAATCTACACTTTAATAATCAGGATTGTCACACGAAACTTTACAAGCATGTTTTTCAAAACGGTGACCGTTTGCAGTAAAAAATTAGCTGCACATTTCGCGTAGTTAATCTTTCTTTAACCGGAAAAGTGAAACGAATTCAATATTGTTATTTAACATGAAAACACCTGCGTCGACTTTGGATCTCATAACTGGTCAATTGAATGTTCTTGATTGGTCAATCCAAGTGACGCAGATTAAAGCTTCGCTTTAACACTCGCAATTAAAGCGAACAATTTTATTCGAGTGTATCATTACACGCGAACGAAACGATTAAATTTATTACAATTTTATCAGACAGCTTTAGTACTTCCAAATTGCAAGCGCGTTTTTATTTCAATTTCGTACAGTAAAATGTGCTCTCATTTGATCGCATTTTATTTCTATAAAAATTCTCTCTTTCCTTACAAATAAACTTGTTTGGTCTTGTGAAATTCACTCGTAGATACTNAGCTTTAGTACTTCCAAATTGCAAGCGCGTTTTTATTTCAATTTCGTACAGTAAAATGTGCTCTCATTTGATCGCATTTTATTTCTATAAAAATTCTCTCTTTCCTTACAAATAAACTTGTTTGGTCTTGTGAAATTCACTCGTAGATACTATGTTAATAATACATCATTAACACTAGAACAAATGTATACATTAACACCGTAACATATACAATGACTAAATTATATATACAATCATAACGATGACAAGATTGAATTCATTTGAACTTCCTATGATTTTTACTGTACAATACTCTTACGTGTCAAATATAAAATTTTATATAAAATTTCCCGATGTAATACATTTTGATAGAACCAGTAACTGTGAATGAAAAAATCGAAAACCGTTTATTTTTAGTGGTTTTGGAATTTCTAGTGTTAAAGACATTAAAATTACAAAGGTTCTTTTATTGGAAATCATTTAATGAATTTACCTTAAAGGATATATGATTTATTGTGAAAATGGAAAAATAAAATAAAAAAAATTTGAGGCGTTTCGTCCCGGACCCGCTAGCGGACTCATCAGTAAGGCTATCCTAGCGGGTCCTGCCTTAGACGCGAGTTTAATGGACAATGCAATTTTAATGTGGTCGACTCTAAACAGTGTAGGAAACAGATGGGAAGCAACCGGAATTGCTTGGCCAACTCTCGATGTGGAATAGTCGCTTTCCTTTCGACTATTCCTTTACTTGAGTTGTAGATGCTGTCGCTAGTATAACCCTTCTGTCTTCTTATTAAGTATTATTATCATCTAGAACATATATTCTTAATTATAAACTTATAGGTAACTTATTACTCATTCGGGAGTACTATATGGCGGGAATGTATTGACTTGAGATCGGACCGTCCGTCGATCTGTTGCGATAGGTTGCTGTGCGAACAACCTAAGTATCTGCGACAGATGACGGCGCTGGTTATACTAGGAACGGGACTACATCGTCCCAACTATCGCAATCTAACACCTATCTTCCTGCACGATGAGATTCGACCGCGGATGTTTGCTAGCTCCTAAAGGGTTACCCTAATCACCTGGAATTGTTTGAGGAATGCACGTCATCGGATAGACCGATCTGGACGGCAAAGCGGTGAGGGAACCGTGGCAGGGAGTTGGAAGGGGGAGCGTTTCGTCCAGACCCCGCTAGAGGACTCCTCAGTAAGGCTATCTAGCGTGGCCCTGCCTTAGACGCGGGGTTGAGGGATGGTAGAATTCGCGGTGTATATATACAAACAAAAGACGTTTGAGTTCTTGCGAGAAACAAATCCCTCTAGCGTCAAGTGACGGCGATATCAATTGCAGGGATTGTGTATTCAACTGTGAATATTTCAAAAAGTCAATTCTTTTTTTTAAATTTTGACTAATTCTCTTATTTTACGCGAGAGAACGTTTACGTACTTTTGACAGAAATACACCTACCATTCCTTACGCTGGAATTAGTAGGATGCGTCGGATTCAGAATCCTGAAACAGCCTCTTAAAGTAGAGGTTCCGAGCTTTAATTTGATGAAAAAATTATCACCCTATGATGATGCTTCGTGGAGTTATCGTCGTTCAAATTTGGCCAATTCTTCAGAGATTTTACTATTCGCGAATTATGGGCCTTGTTGCAATAGTAGTAGGATGCGTCGAATTCGTAATCCACAAACAGCCTCTTAAAGTAGAGGTTCCGAGCTTTAATTTGATCAAAAAGTTATCATCCTATGATGATGCTTCGTGGAGTTATCGTCGGTCAAAGTTGACCAATTCTTATCCAAGATTTTACCATGCGCGAACTACGGATTTTGTTGCAATATTGGTAGCATGCGTCGGATTCATAATCCTGAAACAGTCTCTTAAAGTAGAGGTTCCGAGTTTGAATTTGATGAAAAAATTATCGCCCTACGATGATTATTCGTAGAGTTATCGTGTCAGTCAGAGTTGGCCAATTCTTATGCGCAATTTCTGTATGCACGAACTGTGGATCTTGATGTAAAATATGATCTTTCTACCTGAATTGCAACAACAAACTAAAGTAATGTAGTTGTTGATGATTCTAGTGGGATTGCATGCTAGCATAATGAACCGTATGGTTAAATCGCTAGTTTGGTAGACTAAAGTTATTTTAATAAACAAGGATGGAAAAAGAGGGAGGATGTGAACAATAAAATGTTGAAATGTGATCATATATCGTTAAGCTCACGAAAGAGACGATCGTGCGATCGATATTTGTCTATAAAGCTGTAGCGATGATTGCAAGCGCAATAGAAAAGATCGTAATTAAACTGCAAGTGCAGGAAGATTACTTTACCATTTCTCCAGTGAAACGATATTCTTAAAATCATTCCACTGTTACCTGTCGCATTTGCCCATTTCTCTTGCAAAAGAATAAAATCTACAGCTTAATGATTGGTATTGTCACTTGAAACTATTGTCACTATCCCTTACGCTTGAATGATGTGTCGGATTCATAATCTTGAAAGAGCCTCTTAAAGTAGAGGTTCCGAGCTTTAATTTGAAGAAAAAACTGTCGCCCTACGATGATTCTTTGTGAAGTTATCGTCTGTCAAAGTTCTTCAATTCTTATCCGAGATTTCTTTACGCGTGGACTGCGGATCTTGATGTAAAATAAAAATTGTCTACCTTAATTGCAACAACAAACTAAAATAATTCAGTTGTTGCCACAGACTGGCAACATCTTGCCACCAGACTGGCGACACCGAATTTTACGACGAATTGCGAATGCCGCCACTATGGCAGTATCGATTCGAAAGGGTTAATAAACAAAGATAGAAACAGAGGAAGCTTTAAAAAAAGAGGCCCTTAACAAAGAAACATATTGCTGACCGAATGGTATTTGCTAATGTGCACGTTTCACAGATGGAAGAAGAAGTAGGAGAAGGCGCTTCTTACCGATGAAAAAAGATTTACTCTCGATGGACCAGATGGTTGATCGTGTTATTTTCATGATCTTAGAATGGATCCGATGTTTCTAGTCAAACATCGGATCAAAGGGGGAGGAATCATGGTTTGAGGAGGAGTTGTATATGAAGGGAAAAGAAATATTAGTCTTATCAATGCGAAATTAAAAAGCGCTGATTATATAAAACTAATTGATGGAGAAATTACAGCAAATGTGGAACGAATAAGTGGAGATGCTTTCATCTTTCAGTATGATAATGCATCAGTGCATGAGCCCAAACTGATAAAAACATATTTTGAATCTAATAATATTCAACTTTTACCATACCGGCGAGATTAGCGGACTTGAATATTATTGAAAATGTCTGGGGACAGTTATCTCGTAACGTCTACAGAAAATGTTGACAATTTAATTCAGTTGAAGAGCTAAAAATCGCTATTGAAGAAGGTTGGAACGCAATTTCGCGTAGTTATTTAAAAGAATTGTATAAATCACTACCTACAAGGATGTTAGCGGTTCTCGAAAAGAAAGAACTGTGCACACATTATTGAAATTAAATAAAACGTTAAAATTAAATAAAAATCTTATTCTTTCTGCGCGTATCCTATCATTTTGTGGTACCCGTCTTTCACATAAACACTTATAATTCCTGTAAAACGACATAATCAATGACAGTTTTCTCACGTGTTACTAAAGAAGGGGTACTCTTTATATAGCTACATGCAAAATCTTTCGATGCATTATTGGTTTTGAGAAACACGAAAAATTCTGGGACGTCCTATCATTTTGTCGCGAAGTGTAGTTGTTGAGGATTCTAGTGGAATTGCAGGATAGAGATGGAGGACTGTACGGTTATAAAACGCTGGTTTGGTAGACTAAAGATATTTTATTAAACAAAGATAGAAGCAGAGGAAGGAAATGTANGAATCATGGTTTGAGGAGGAGTTGTATATGAAGGGAAAAGAAATATTAGTCTTATCAATGCGAAATTAAAAAGCGCTGATTATATAAAACTAATTGATGGAGAAATTACAGCAAATGTGGAACGAATAAGTGGAGATGCTTTCATCTTTCAGTATGATAATGCATCAGTGCATGAGCCCAAACTGATAAAAACATATTTTGAATCTAATAATATTCAACTTTTACCATACCGGCGAGATTAGCGGACTTGAATATTATTGAAAATGTCTGGGGACAGTTATCTCGTAACGTCTACAGAAAATGTTGACAATTTAATTCAGTTGAAGAGCTAAAAATCGCTATTGAAGAAGGTTGGAACGCAATTTCGCGTAGTTATTTAAAAGAATTGTATAAATCACTACCTACAAGGATGTTAGCGGTTCTCGAAAAGAAAGAACTGTGCACACATTATTGAAATTAAATAAAACGTTAAAATTAAATAAAAATCTTATTCTTTCTGCGCGTATCCTATCATTTTGTGGTACCCGTCTTTCACATAAACACTTATAATTCCTGTAAAACGACATAATCAATGACAGTTTTCTCACGTGTTACTAAAGAAGGGGTACTCTTTATATAGCTACATGCAAAATCTTTCGATGCATTATTGGTTTTGAGAAACACGAAAAATTCTGGGACGTCCTATCATTTTGTCGCGAAGTGTAGTTGTTGAGGATTCTAGTGGAATTGCAGGATAGAGATGGAGGACTGTACGGTTATAAAACGCTGGTTTGGTAGACTAAAGATATTTTATTAAACAAAGATAGAAGCAGAGGAAGGAAATGTAGAAGAAAATATTGAAATGTGATCATGCATCGTGAAACTCACGAAAGGGACAATCAAGCGATCGATGTTTGTCTACAAAGCTGTAGCGGTGGTTGCAAGCGCAATAGAACAGAGCGGAATTAAACTGCAAGTACAGGAAGATTACAAGCGTAATTAAAGCGAACTCACTCCACAGGATTCACACATGCTACGATCGCATTATACAGGACTAATCATGTTGTTGTGGGCCATCGATTAGGAGAGGTAAAGGAATGGTGAATTTGAAAAGTGCAAGGACTAAGAAGCGATGAACGTTCGTTACAATGCATAGGATCAATGTTTTAACGAACGGCGCCGCATCGGTAACAAGGAAATTAGGTAAACGAATTTGATATTAGGATTACTTGGAAGGATGGCCCAGTCAACAAATAGATAGCGACGTTACCAACAGGAGATTGTCAAATGTTTACATTGCGGCTCGTTTACCTGTGCTAGTGTCGAGCTCGAACAGCTGAGATTGACTCTGTGTACAAATACTGATGCCCTGGAGTTTTTGTACACCGACCCAGGTGATACCCGTAAAAAGGCAATGTTCTTGTTTCAATTTTACATATAGTAGTTTGTTTTCTTTCTCAATATTTGTAATAAGTTTATAATAATGTAATAACATTCTTAGAGTCTATCTTTCTTAAAATGTTCCCAGTGTTACAGCAATTTACCATTTCTCCACTGAAACGGCATTCTTCAAATCATTCCACTATTACCTGTCGCATCTGCCAATTTTTCTTGTAAATGAATAAAAGCTACAGTTTAATGATCGGTATTGTCATGCGAAACTTTACAAGCATGTTTTTCAAAACGGTGACCATGATATCTCAAAATCTGCGCGCCCATTTGCCTTCAGAAATTAAGTGCATCTTTCGCGTAGTTAATCTTTTTTTAACTCGAAAAGTGAAACGAATTCGGTATTGTTATTTAAAAAAAAACATGTGCGTCGCTTTTGGATCTCATAACTGGTCAAATGAATGTTCTTGATTGGTCAATCCAAGTGACGCAGATTAAAGCAGTGCTTTAACACTCGAGAATAAAGCGAACAATTTTATTCGACTGTTTCATTATTCACGAAAAAAGCGACTAAATTCATTATAATTTTATTAGACAGCTTTGATACTCACAAATAATGGGTGCATTCTTTTCAAATTTTATTACGTCAATTTTTTACTTGGACACAGCGCGGATAATGTCATTTATGTTTTATTACGTCACTTAGTCACTTGATAAATAAATGATTAATTTTGGTTAGTATTTCATCAGATCGCTCTATCACCAGAGAACAGGGTCAACGGTATTATTTCCATTTTATCATATTTTATCCTCTTTCGTTGCAACAATGGAGGAAAAAAGTTCAGTTATCCGGCGTTCTTAAATTTACAGTGGAGAATTGGATAGCAAGGGAGAAATGACCTGAGAGAAACGCACCGCCTATTCCAAATAAAGATATATCTTTTCTCGCGAAATTAGAAGTGGATGGAGGAACGCAACAATCGAATTTTTTATACTAGAATTTTCTGAACTGTGGATCTCGTAGTTTTCAAAGTTTTGAAGATCCCAGTTATCAGCCGACACCAGCAATTCCCGCCTTCATCTTTGTACAAGTTTCCTCCTTCTTACAATCCGCGACATAGAATTGGCACGCTTTAAAATTGAGAGATTGTTAATTCCTTAACATTACCATCACCGTTCCGTATTACTATACACTTTCAATATTATCTGTATAAACATACACGAATGAAATAAATTTTTAGTTGACTGTGTCATCATTTCGTCGTACATTATATCCATAAAAATTCTTTCGTCTTTCAAATAAAACTGTTTGGACTGGTGAATACTAGAACAAATCTATACATTAATGCTACAGCTAATACATATATATATAGTTTCATAACGATGGCAAAATTGAATCCATTTGAACTATCTACGATTTTTACTGTACAATACTCTTAAATAAAGAAGTTCCTTTAAAATTTTCGGACGTATACATTTTTATAGAATCAGAACTTGTGAAAAAATAAATCGGAAACCGTTTATTTTTACTGGTTTGGTATTTCTAGTGTTAAAGACAGTGAAATTACAAAGATTCTTTCATAGAAAATCATTGTTTGATCTTCTTAAAGGATAATGGAAATATCAAATGTGAAAATAGAAAAATAAATTTCAAAAAAATATGAGGCGTTTCGTCCCAGACCCGCTAGTGGACTCATCAGTAAGGCTTCTCTAGCGGGCCCTGTCTCAGACGCTGGCAGTGGAGTGACATTGCTAGTCGAACACTTCAAATTCCAGGAAGATGGGTCGCAATTAGCTTGCATGACACACTCGGTAACGAATCACTGCTCGCGGTGCCAGCGTGAGCAGTCATTCGTGTTTTACCGAGCCGTAGGTGCAGCTGCCCAGTATGGCCCTTCCTAAACTATATCACAGATTATCTTTGTACTATTAATGTTATAATAATTGACATATGGGAGTCGTTACGTACTGTTAGAGGAGTTACGGACCTCTAACAGTACAATTGACTTAAGGGGTTAATTGACTGCGACTCGGTCCTATTGACTATGTAGGTAATTGACTTAATTCTAAGGCACTTGCACCATCCATCTCTTGTTGTCGTTCCTGGTTGCTGCCGATGCGAGCAACCCGGACGACTACAACAGATAGACGGAGACGGGCCATACTAGGAAAGGGACTACAACATCCCCAC